AAGTAAAACAATGATAAAGTGCATCTCTTTCTACTTTCTATTTAACAGAAATATTTTTCATCATGCTTCCAGTGCCTGTAAAATAACAAATAATGCATATTGCTAAAGTCAAGCTGAATATTGCATTAGGTCCTAAGTAACATTGACAGATTCCTTCCGTCGACTTTCTCTTTGTATCCCCACGGCTATGAAAAGATATTCCCAGATATTTTTGTCGGATTAAACCAAACGAATCTAATTACAATTGAAATGCTCACTGCGTGTTTATGGTCATTTCTTCGATCAAATTTTATATTTTATTGCAATACCTACAATATTTTATTGCAATATGTACCAAAGCTACACGAAGCTTTCATAGCATCGTGATATTTATTTATTTTGCACGATAGGTAGCCAGTTTGACAGTTCAATAGGTAGACTTGGCTTCACTCTTGGCGTGACTCATTATACACTGACTCTACACGCTATTACAAAACTACCCAAATTTGAGTACAATCCACCCAGATCGGTCAAAACTGAACCTACTCAAAAATGGGTAAGCTGTGTTGGGAGTGACAAGTTGACAAATGAACAACATCGACATGAATCCGATCAACTTTGTTCATTTGTCAACTTGTCACTCCCAACACAGTTTACCCATTTTTGGGTAGGTTCAGTTTTGACCGATCTTGGTGGATTCTACCCAAATTTGGGTAGTTTTGAATTAGCGTGTAAGCTTAGATAATTAAAACATAGATTGCTCAGTCGGGCATCCCTGCTCTTACTCGAAAAGTAACATTGATAGCGCGCTATCTGTCGGCCAACGGATGAACTATAAGTTTAGCAGCTGAAATGAGTGCGCATTTCGAATCAAAACTGTCCTGCGTAAATTAATATTTTGGATGGCGCATCACATCGGTTTTGTTTTGATTTTTATTAGATGTGTTCAATCTTAAGTGGTGGAGTCAATATTATTATTAATGTGCAACTATATTGTCATGAATATCGTCAATCTCTATACATTCCGATTCCGACTCGCTAAATTGAAAGTCAACATCCATCGAACTAACGACAACGTGAAATTTGGCTCGCAACGTTCCGATTTGAAGACGGAACAGCTGTTGGTAGTAGTCTGCAGATAAGAAAACTTTATAATATATTATTGAGAATTAATAGACATCAATTAACGCTAATTCCTGAGTTTTGCAAAGCGGAATAATGAAGTCATCATCCTGGAAGTGATCGCTGCAAATAACCGAGAATTTCATGGCACCGCAGACGTTAATCCAATTCTACAAGACTCTTGAGCTGGAACCTAAGAAAATATCATTCAAATGTTCATCAAAAACCAACAGCTGTTTTTCACTAGAACCTTGTGAAACGTTTTTGAACTTGGACTGGAAGCAGCTATAGTACAAGTTTGAAACTCCCACCGTCGAAACCCTATTTTGGTTTCTGGTATGAATCACTATTGTTTTAGACAGAAATCGGTAATGAAAGTGTTTGTTCACGCAAATGCAGATATACACGTTAATCACAAATTACTCTGCACGCTTTGATTAAATAACTAAACTGGACGAACAAAAACATGGGAAAATTTATGACAATTTTGCATAAAAATAAATCATATATCAACACCATTTGGGTTTGTTCACTATGCACCCAATCAAGATAATTTCTTTGTGCAATCTAAGTAAATTTATCTTAGCGTGCAAAGTTATGAATGCGCAGGGAGAAAAAATAGTTCACCCGTTGACCGCCTTTCTCAGTTAGGCGCCACATTTTTGTTGTCATTTTATTTTCCGAAATGGCAAACCTATGTTTTAATTATCTAAGCTCTAAGTCATATGTTTCCATCAGGAAATTATTCTACCATAGTCCATTCTACGCGCACGAGTATTAATAGTCCGAAAGTGAGGATAACAATAACAAACCAACATTTTTGGCTGGAGTGAAAGTGAGGATAACAAACTTCGCACTTTAACATGGGACTACGCAAGTGTGCGTGTTATAAACGACAGAAAGGTCAATGGAAGAAGATTTCCAGATGAAAACATTGACATATACGCCTATCTCAAACACGACACAAGGTAAAAATACCCTACAAGCACCAAATTCCACACAGTGTCTACTTCTGCGCATAAAATATTTTTTGTTTATTTTTCAACAATATTTTTGAAATGATAAAATTTTAAATAATACTTCCCGTGCATTACAGCTGTAAGTACATGGAACATTTTGTAAATATTTCATAATATGTTGATGCTTTCTAAACACTTGATTGCACAATCATTATGAACAACGTAGAAAATGGTCTGGCACGGTAATCCGTACAACAAAAGCAATCCCAAGAAAAACATCGTGTTCAAACACCGTGTTTGCACATATGAAAAAACCGTGGTTTCAACAAAACGTTCATGTGTGTGTATTGGACAGCATGTTTGAAATGAACATTACAACACAAGGAAGAGCGCGTACGTGTTCAACCAAAACGTTATGTTTTTCATCGGGCGCAAATGTGCGCGTGTTTTTCGGAGGGTTTCCTTGTAGGTTTTGAGCACTCGACAAACTGTTGTTTTTGGCACTTCAGCACTTTAGCCAGCTTGTAAACGGACCATTTTGGATTTCCCAGGCGTTTGTGCACAGTATTTTCTCTTCTTTAGAGTTCCATTTGAAGTTATTTCTGAACGCGCTCGACTACTTTGATCAAACTTGCACTAGTTGTTTTCTATAGAGGTGTAAACAAACCACTGTCAAAGATGTTCGATTCCACACACTAGAGGCGTGCTAGTGGCGTGTGAGGGACGTCCAATTTACTTTTAGTCAGCCTTTATTTATAATTTTGTTCATATTCAATGCCAATCTGTTTCACTGCTAAATGTTTGCAGGCACCCACCGAAAAAGTTGCTTAGATTTCGGTGCTCTGAGCGCAACACATGAAAAATTCATGTAAATTTAGGTGTTCTGAGACTGACATATACGAGGGTCAATTTTGACATAAATTACAGAGTACTTAATATTACATGACATGATTGTTTACGTTTCATCTTTTATGTCAAACATGGATTCTGTCACATGTAAAAATAGTAATTTCTAAGTGTGTACGTACACACTTAGAAATACCTAATTTTACACGTGGTGGAATCCATCTTAGACATAAAGGATGAGACGTAAACAAACATGTCATGTAATTTGGTCCTGACGAGAGGAGCAACACAATAGTTGGGTAAAGAAGAACTGCATTATAACACACCATCGACTGAAAATGCTCTCGCAACGTGAGGCTTTAGGTAGTGATGAAAACGTCGCTAGAACTATTCCACAGCCACAGTCAGTTTATGAGCAAAAAGAGGGACGCACATTTTTGCCTGTGGACTTGGAGACATACTTCAAGTCCCCGCGTACATCGTACGGGTTAGGCAAAAATGTGCGTCTATCTTGAAAAACTGTCGCATTAATGGCCCTTCGCTCATTTTCAACTTCTATTCAATTTTCATACTGCCGTACTCTAACGGAACTATCCACCTACCCTCTTCTAAAGATCATTCTCTAGCTAATAAATCATCACACTAAAGCTTCATGTTAGCATTTCCAACCAACTCTGATGTCATGTAATTTTAAGTACTCCAAGACTGTTCATTATTCGACGAAAAGTGCGTTTGATTTAGCTGAATTTCGCGTCTATTATGACTCAATTTTATGTCAGAATTGGTGCTCGTATATGTCAGTCTCAGAGCACCTAAATTTACATGAATTTGTCTAAGTGTATACTTTTTGGTCGTGTTTGTGTACGTTTCATGATTTAAGTCAATGATGAATTTCGTGTAAAATTAAATTAGTTAGTTCAAAGTTTCTGGGATTTTTTTTTTCATCCTCTGTAAAAGTTTCATAAGCGAAATGTTTTGGTTGTATTTGTAGAATGAGCACATTTGAAAACCGATGTTAGCAGTTTAGTTGTAAGCGCTACTGCCATCTCACCCCGTTTGGGTCTGGATTCAATCTCAGCCGAGGTTGTTGGGATTTTGTAAGGCAAAAACCTCTAGTCACGTTCTTCTTTGGAAGTGAAGTAAACCCGTTTTTTCCCTCTATTCGGGACCTAACACTACTGCGACCAGTAATTTGATCTATTGTAGTATATCCCGTGTCCTTAGTTTAGTGCATGTCTATTACTCCATCACTATTGAGAAATGATGAAGTATTCGATTTTTTTACAGTTGCCACTCTTGCATTTATCGCAAGGATCCGATTCTAATTGAAAGGTCCCGCTATTTATACCCTTCGGAGTGTTGAAACACCCTCCAAAGGCGCGCCCCTTTGTCAGTCAAAATTGGATTCCTTAGCAACAAGGTATGACACCGATAATGACCATGCATCAGAACCCTAGTCTTAACCACTTCAAACTAGGGAACAACGAATAGAAGATTAGGAATCACATACATGAAGGCAACTAACTCATTTTTTTCCTTGTTTCAAGATCATCCTCGGTAGACAAAGCCGAGTCTTGTCACTATCAACAAGGCATAAAATGTAACAAGGACTAAGATGTGTTCCTTGGATTACTGAAAAATCCTGTTCCCCTAGTTTGAAGAAGTCAGGACTAGGAATCGGTGGTAGATCTTACATCCCGTAACGTACCACTAAAAGGTGATCTACCCACGTTACGGGGTACGTAAACCCGTAAACCCGTTGGTTTCGTTCCATGTTGGGCTCGATATTAAAGGGATTTATAGCCTCCCATTGATGATAGGCACTCGTTTGAGGAACAGGGACCTACGAAAAATAAATAAAAATATCCAATGACTAGTTTAAAAATATAAGCTACACATTTTTCATTTCTTATATAAAAAAAACTGGAAGACAGTCTTACATTTTCCGGTCACTATAATGAATTCAATTCTTCGACTCGTAACATCAGAAAAAAAAATTAAAAACGCACAAACAAAGCACATCAGCCAAACTCCGCACTGCATCGCTCCATTGACTGAACCCTACCAACAATTTAAGTTCCTTTGTTTATTCAGTTATTTAAGTGAATCGAAAAAAAAATCAATTGATTGCCGTCAATTGTGAAGAAATCATCGCCTTCAACGTCATCAGGTGTATCGATCTCGGCCAAGTCAACTACGTGTGTATCCTGTTCATCCATCCATCCCCAATCTGCGAGAGAAAAAAAAAACCCGCGCAATTGTTCGTAAATCAACCAACCGCGTCCGTCATCGCGTCCGACAGCAATTAATACGTGAAATTCTTCGTGTAATCGTTCGTAATTAACCCGTCCAACCGAAAACCTGTCCGCTGCTGCCTGGTCGCTGAAACGAGAAATTTAAACAGGACGAATTCCGCCACACTCAACAACTGCCGCAAATACCACACTGTGTCACCGGCAGTACCAACAGCATGGCGTCGCCATCGTTGCCGTTGTCGTTGAAAAGACAAGAAGTGAGATTTCAATTAAGCTGCTAATTTATTTACCATAATTATATTGGATGTTAAAATTTCCAACTCGTTCCTCGAGGCAAGCTCGAGCAATGTGAACCGGAGCGTGGAGTAATGGTCACCCATCACGTTGCTGTGTGGATCCCCGGAGATCTGGAGCCGCCCACACACCATCGTTGCCGTCAATGAAGCATGGGAAATCAAGTAATCAAGAACCGGGAAAACAACAACAGCCTGAAGGTGTGCCATTTGCTGGCCCGTAAAAAGTGTCCCAGCAGCAGCAAGTGCACTATGTAGGTGAAATTGCATTACGGAAAAAAACGTACTTCTGCTGCGAAGAATCCAGAAGAAACGTGACTCCCACTCACGCCAGGATGCCAACCTGGAGGGTCTGAGAGTTCTTTCCGAGTTTTGTGAGGCTGTGCTTAAATAGCATCGGTGGAAGTCAATTAATAATTAAGTTGATTGTAATTTATTGATCAAGTTTTGGGTGCGACTTTTGAGTTAATTAGAATTACGCACTGGTGCTTTTCGCTGAAAGTGTTTGTAAGCTGCTTTGAAATAGCTTTACAGTGAACAGTGTACCATTCATAAAAGACTGGAAAAAGTTGGAGGGCCTATAAGGCTTCGAGTACGTGAAGAAAATGTAAATTTCTACAAGCCGTCGTAATAAAGATGGTTCTGAGAAAAAGCGACTGAGAAAATATCTTACGACGATAAAAAAATTATGTGCCGTTGAGTGGTTCCAAGTGGGGGAGATAGAGAAAGGAAATAACAACCATTTAATAGTGTGTGCATTGTGCAAAGATCGATAAAATCCACCGAAGATTAATTCCGTTCGGAAAAAGATAAATAAAAATAAAAATGGCCGATTCAAGCAGCAGCGATGAAGAATTGGCTCAGGCTGCTGCCACGGCATCCACCGCTTTGGTGACGAAGCCTTCGACAGCAGCCGTGAAGATGGTCCAATCGAGAGAACGTGGACCGGCTCAGTGTCACGAGTGCTACGGAGACTGCAGTGATTGTAGTGCCGTCTGCTGCAAGGATACGGTGCACAAGTGCCACTCGGATCCACTGAGTGGAAGGATTATAACGGGGAAGAACTTGCTGACCCGTTCGCTTCGATATGCACCCGGTCCGGCTACCAGAAAGTGTGTGCTCACCCTGGATGGGTACTCCTATGTTATCGGTGAGTATGGGTCTTTGAATGTAAATGATTTTGCCATATTACTTTCTAGGAAACGTTTGATTTACTGTTTTAATTAAGGTCAGTACCTAATGGATTTAGCAACCGAAAAATTACAGCCAGTAATGAAAAGATTTATAAAATATCAGCTCAATTCAATAGCTCCTTATTCCAGCTAAGATTACATAAAATATTCCTCATTTTTGACTAGGGTAAACGCTCCTATAAGTTCGGTACGTACGTCTAACGTACCGTAACTATAGGAGCGTTTCCCCTATGTAAACCTTTGTGAAGATGACTCAATGCACAGTGGTCCAAAATGCAGATTTAGATGGAAGGATATGTTTTGAGTCTGAAATTGAAATTTTAGACTAAAAGCGTCTTATACAAAGTTGTTTCTTATAGTTAGGCCCTCATTTTTATGACAAGGAATTCTAGGGTGGTTCTTATTATCACTGAAATCAAAAATCAAAACTTTTTTGTTTGTAGAAATTAAGGTACAAATTAATCTTCAAAATTATAGCTGAGCTAATTTCAAGCAACTTTGTAGAAAGAACTTTATTGTATCTCTTAAGTTTGCCGATTTAGAGCGATTTTCTTGAATTGAGTTAGGGTGTCTCTAAAAACCAGTTGTTTTGCACTAGATTTTTTATTTCAAATTTATCAGCAAAAGTGTCTGTTGAAAACAATGGCGATGAGCACCGATCTTTTAGCAGAGCAAATAAAACAATTGCAATATTTGCCACATGCTGCAAAGCTGTAATATTTATATAATTAAAATACTCATCAAAATAAAATACATTACAGTACTTACAATTTCGGTGTTTTCTCGCATTGGAATAGCCAACAGAGCGATTTGCTCTTCCAATGCACCGTGCCGTCGCTTGCTTTCACTGATCTATTGTGACTGTGATCATTGACAGCACCGGCGTGTCCAAGAAAACCCCGAAGAACGACAAACAAACACACTACAATATCAAACAATTCTTCACGGGGTTCGTCGAGCGTCAAAACGCAACAGTATCTTCAAATATTTTTTAGATCTTTACAAGGCGCAAACGTTTGCTCCAAAGAGCTTGTCGATATCTTTCGCCGATCAAGAGTTATTGACGTTTTTCTACTAAAAAATATTCCCTTTTCAAATTCTGTCTCTCTAGTTGGGGAAAGCAAAAAAAATGGTTTTTAAATGGCATTTTCAAGAACGTATGTTATTCTTAATAAAATGAAAATATTAGAGGCAAGTTATTTTTTAAACAAATATAAAATCATTTTTAATTTATATGTTTTACTATAATTGGATATATCTTTTTTATTAGAAGAGATACAGATAACTATTTTGCAATTACACATTCGTATTAAAGAGCTTTAGAAGTCTCTAGAAGATGACTTTCATGAGTAATTTGATATAAAAAAGTTAGTGCAAAAAAAATTTTTTTTTCCAGGAACACCCTAAGTAAACTTAAAAAAATTTCTCTAAGCCGAGAACGTTAAGAGATAAAAAAAAAACTACAGGACACAGCCCTATAGGGTTGTGCGCAATGGTGACGCAGGATTACGTGGTCTTATATATAATCACGATGGTGTTGCAATATGATGTCTGTGTTTGGGAAACAATCACAAAATGATGGATTGCCTTTCTTTTTGCACACGCCGTTAAGCTACACAGACTCCTCCCATCATGAGTAGTTGCTATCAAGTAGCGACACTGGCTCCTCTACTTTTGCGTTGTTTGCCAATGTCAACACCTTGAAAGCAAAGGGAAATTAACTAGTTATTAACGAAACAGACAGTCGATGAAGATAATCGATCAAAATCATTTGATTACAAGATTACAACTCTGGAGAGCATTTTGTGTGGTCTTTGGGGGCGTGTGGTTCTGAATGTCGACAAACAGGCACAGATAAATTCTATTCCAACTATTAACTGTAATAAACTTGGTGGCCCTGGAAAGGGCCGTTTTGTTGCCAAAGTTGGTGATGATTTAACCTCCGAAACCGTACAGAGTGCGTCCCTGCCGCTTCCATTTTCCAGGAACACCTTCAGCACACATCGGGTTTCCTAGTAGATAAGACCGGAGACACGTTTGACACCGCCACGGCGAGCCAGATGACGGATGGCGGCCTTGATAATACCCTGGATGTTATCACGAAGAACCTTACGATGACGCTTGGCGCCTCCTTTACCAAGACTTTTTTCTTCTTTGCCACGACCAGTCATTCTTACTATTTAGATAGAAGAGTGGACTACCTAACCTGCCACTTTCCTACTGCTGCTATTGCTGCTTCTGCTGCCTGCTCACGACACCATCCGAAGCGAAAATGAGTTTAGGCTAGACAGCAGCGCTCTTTTATATCTTTTCAGGTTAAAGCAGAATGATACTCGAATGATACTCGATTATGACGAATGGGTTTGGGAAGAACGTTTATTTCATGAAAACAATGATAAAATTATCACTTTTTCTTTGTTCATTGGACAATGCTTGACATTTACCACTTCTTCAATAGTTTTTTGTTAAAAATCAAAAGTCGAAAGCATTACTATCGATGCGTAGAAGTATTTCTGATCGATTGGTGATAACATTATTGAAATTAGTCCAGGGGCAGCTGAGTTGTTAACGTTCAAAATCTTTCATAATTTTGTTACATGTTCCATTTTTGGTTTTCATAAAGTGCACAGACATAGTCCTCGTCAAAAAATTATCTTCAACAAAGTTGTTTGAAATTACCTCAGTTAATGTCTTTATTTTGTAAAACAAAAAGTTAGTTTTAAAAAATACTCTAATTTGAGGTCCATCCTGATGCTTGCAAACACCGAAAGAAGGGAATTTTTAAGCACAAAAACTTCTCCGAAGTCACAAATGTTCAAATATTCAAACAAATGTACTAGCACATTTTATTTAAATTTGTCATTAGAGTGGTCCTGTAAAAACCATATTTTGCCAATAGCTTTTTTATTTAAAAATTTTCATGTAAGTCATCTTCTAGAGACTTTTGAAACTCTTTATGACGGATTTTTAAAACCAAATTTTGCTGTCTGTATCTCTTCTAATAAAAAAGATAAACCCAAATATAGTAAAAATATGAATAAATTCAAATTGATTTCTTGCGACTTTAAAAAATAACATACCTCCATTTTTTCATATTATTGAGGATAACATACGCCCTTCCAAATGCCGTAAAAAACTTTTTTTTTGTTTGCCCCAACCAGAGATATTCACATTTGAAAAGGGCATATTTTAAGTAGAAAAACTACAAAGGGCAGCCCCATGGGCTTATTTAATAAATCTTATTTGTTAACTGCAGCAGGAGCTTGTGTTTTGCGTGGGAGTAGGAATTTGAGCGGGGTTCTCTCTGTTAATACTCTTTAGTATGACGCGCTTTACATAGATGGCTCACAGCGACTCACGAAGAGCTACTGATTCACAGAACACCACCGCGGTGATTGAATAAACACCATTTGGTGAAACCAGATGGAATTCAACTTTGAAAACTGTGTTAGGGAAATCGCATTTTGCAGGTAATCGGTGATAATTTTAATTATCATAGCAATAGTTGCACATTCGTGCAATTTTAAATAGTGACATTTTGAAAAATGATAAAGTTTTGAATTTTTCAGATGCTTAGGAATATTTCTGATCGATTGGTGATAAAATTATTGAAATTGGTCCAGGGGCAGCTGAGTTATTAACGTTCAAAATCTTTCATAATTTTGTTACATGTTCCATTTTTGGTTTTCACAAAGTGTACCCCCATATAGAAATCACAGACGTAGTTCTACGTCAAAACGTCAATAGCTCTTGATCGGCGCAAAATATCGTCAAGTTCTGTGGAGACAAAATGTGCGCCTTCTAAAGATCTAAAAGTTATTTCCAGGGAGAACGGTCGTTCGATTTCATGCCGTCAGTAGGACGTCGTGATCTTCTACCTCAACAAATAAGTTCAGATGTTGCAGAGTTCCAACAAACCAATGGCGTCGCCTTAACCTCAATCTACCTGTGCACCAACTCTCAAAACATAAACAATTATCAAAATATTGCTTGCAATGGATAGATATCGAGTTAACTAGAATATTAAGTGTGTTTTTCAACCGATTTGAGTATGAATATGGCATTAAATCTGTTTTTGAAAGTTGGTGCACAGGTGAAAAGTGAGGTTACGCGACGCCACTGCAACAAACTGTAGCGGATCGTTGCTATGATGTAGTTGTGACGTACACACTACCAAAAAATCATGTAAATTTCCGTGCCCTGAGACCGACACATACAAGCGGCCCAAATTACATAAGAATCAGTTGAAAGAAACGAGAAAATAAATTCAATCAATCGTACTTTTCGTTGAGTTGCGCATGTTTCGGTTTGGGAACACACGAGGAAAATTTTACTGAGCCTATGAGAAGATTTTGAATGAAAAACCAGTTAATTTTGAATCGATTAGTCGTGAGACTTCCGTCTACGGTTGATCAGTTTTCATAGTAATGGAAAATGTAACTCCAATCAGGGCTGGAAAGCACCTCAGAGCATTAGCAAAGAAACTTTGTGCATGCATCTCACAACACTCGACAAAGAGTGTGTGGTTCTCGCATTTACTTTGCACACTCTTTTCCAACTAATCTGTGAGAAAGCCAAGCGAGCGGAACACTCCGTGCGGCGCAGACTTTGCTTACCATGACTGCATGCATAGGAGATGAAGAAGAGCATAACGAATAAGAATTTTGTCTTTATGCTGGGTTTCCTATTTGCAACCCTACACTGAGTGGCGCTCTTTGCGTCGGAGCCGTGTGTGTCTGTCTTCTCTTCTCCGCTGCTTTACACTTGCGCAGGGTGAAAGACAAGCAAACTTTGTGTTTACTTGATTCTCACTTTGTATATTTCAGAAAATCAGTCGCTCATTGGGTGATCAGATGACAGCCCTAACTCCAATTAATCATATCACCATTCCATTTTCCACAGAGATGGCCCTGTTCCGCTGGTAGGAAGTAATAAAAATATACACAATATATAAATT